TTGGTCTTTTTGAGACAGGGTCTCCCTGTAGGCCCAGCTGTCCTGGATTCACTATGGAGACCAGGCTGGCCTCGAACTCACAGAGATCCGCCTACCTCTGCCTTCTGATTGCTGGGATTAAAGGTGTGTGCCACCACACCCAGCTATTATTTTTATTTTATGTGTGTGAGTGTTTTGCCTGCATGTAAGTGCACCTGTGTTGTGCAATGCCTGCAGTGTACAGAAGAGGGCATCCGAGGGCTAGGGAGATGGCTCAGAGATTAAGAGCACTGGCTATTCTTGCAGAGGACTCGGGTTCGATTCCCAGCACCCACATGGTGGCTGACCTTTGTGGGCACTGCATGACAGAGGTGCGCTTACATACATGAAGGCAATATACTCATACACACAAAATAAAATTAAAAAAAGAGAAGGGTGTTGAATCCCTGGAACCAGAGTCACGATGGTTGTTAGCCAGTATGTGGGTGCTGGGAACCAAATCTGGGTCCTCTGCAAGAGCAGCCATGGCTAACAACCATCTGTAACTCCACTTCCAGGGATCTGATGCCCTCTTCTGACCTCCATGGGCATTGCACATCACAGGTGCACATACATACATGCAGGCAATACACACATAAAAATATTTAAAATAATAATTGCTGGGTGTGGTGGTACATGCCTTTAGTCCTAGCACTGGGGAGGCAGAGGCAGGTGGATCTCAGGAGATAGAGGCCAGCCTGGTCTACATAGTGAGTGCTAGGTCAACTGGAGCTACAGGGAGACCCTGTCTCAAAAAGAGCAAAATAATAATAATAATAATAATAATAATAATAACAATAGACATGAAGTGGGAGGTGTAGTAAGGTAGGGGTGGAGATGAGGGAGGGGGAGTCTGAATATAATCAAAATACAGTGTATGAAATTCTCAAAGAATCAATAAAAAAATGTAGTTATTCCAGGGGCTGGGGAATGGAGCTCGGGTTGGTAGACTGCTGGCCTAGCATGCACAAGGCCCTAGACCGATCCTCAGCACTGTGTAAATCAGCTGTGGCGGTACATTCTTGTCATTCCAGGGCTCAAGGTGGAGGCAGGAGGATGGGTTCAAGGTCATAGAGAAATTGAGGCCAGTTTGGGATATGAGACAGGGTTATACTATGTGGCCCAGGCTAGCCTCTGACTCCTGATCCTCCTGTCTCCTGGTCCTTGGTGTTGTGAATACAGGCTTTGGTCTGGAACACTTGACCTTGCTCCAGCCTCTTGAATACTGGGATGACAGGCATGGGCCACCACAGCAAGCTTTGTGCTAAGATTTTTCTAGCTGCTATTTCTGTCTTCATGTCATATTTACACGTGGCTGTGTCTATTTTTTATAGAGGAGAAATCTGAGTCACCATGAATTGAAGTCACTTGCTGAAGGTCGCAGGTAGATCCTGTGACAAGGTAGATATGCAAATGTAAATAGTCAACCCGGATAGATTACAAACCAGGGTTCAGACTGGCCTAGGGAGACAGCTGCCCCAGTGTGGGCTGCTTCTAAGTGGAATTCTGGTGTAGACTGTTGGAGGGCAGTGGGAAGATGGGACTCACAGTGGGAAGGTGTTGCTAGTGGGCTGGGGGATGATGGCAGCAGACATTATAGATAAAGACCAGGGAGCAGGGCCTTGGGGAAGTCACCTATGGGAGCTACAAAGGCTTGTGGGAGACAGGGAGCGCCAATGTCAGTCTTGAGCACATCAGCGGGACATGAGATGCAGACTCCACCCAGTTGGTCTTTTGTGTGTGTGTGTGTGTGTGTGTGTGTGTGTGTGTATGCATGTGTATGTGTGCATGCACCTATGCGTGTCTTGGTGTATATGTATATATATACATATATATATGTACGAGTGTGTGTATTTATGGGTCTGTATGTGTATGTACATGTATGTGTGCCTGAATGTTTATGTGTATATGTACATGAGTGTGTGTGTATGGGTCTGTATGTGTTTCTGTATGTACGTGCATGCATGTGTATGTGCATGTATATATATGTGTGTGCACATAAGTGTGTGTGTGTGTGTGTGTGTTTTATTTGCTTCTCTGTTGCTATGATAAAACACTGACCAAAACAAACTTGGGGAGGAAAGTTTTATTATATTTTAAAGCTCATAGTCCATCATAGAGGGCAGGAGCTCAAGCAGGAACCTGGGAGCAGGAACTGAGGCAGAGGGCCGCTGCCGGCTTGCTCTCACTGGCTTGTTTTCTTATCAACTCAGGCCCACCTGCCCAGGGATGGCACTGCCCACAGTGGGCTGGACCCTTCTACCTCAAGCAGCAATTGAGAAAATGCCTCACAGACAGGGGCACAGACTAATCTGAGCTGGGAAATTCTTTAGTTGAGGCTCCTTCTTTCCAGGTGACTCTAGTTTAACAAACTCTAGTTTGGGAAAAACCAGCCAGCTTAATGTTTATGTATTTAGGTATGCATATGTGGTGTGTGTGTGTGTGTGTGTGTGTGTGTGTGTGTGTGTGTGTGTTTGAGGCAGGGTCTTACTCTGTGTAGCCCAGGCTTACCTGGAAGTCCCAGTAATCCTCCTGCCTCAGTTTCCCTTCCTAGGCACTGGGACTACAATCATAAGCTACCATGTGTGAATTGAGGTTGGCTTTGATGTGTCGCCATCCCCAAAAGGCCAGTCAGATGGATCTTCAGCTCTACCTGCTTTGAGCCTCTGGAGTCTGGCTGGTGCATTCTCACAGCAGTGAGAAGCCAGCCCTGTTATTTTACCACAGCTGAGTGGAGAGGAGCTTTTGGGGACAAAATGGGATGAGTTGAATGCTGGGGATTCCAGGCAGAGGACCACAGAGACCTGCCCAGAATGTCTGTGTCAGGGACAGGAAAGGAGAGGCAGGAGGCTGAGGGACAGGGCAGGGCTGTGCTGGGCTCCCCGGCTCAGAGCTCAGAGCTTTTACTTCCTCCTCCGCCTCTTCCAGCCTTAGCCTCTGGCCTCACCAATGGGCTGGCAAAGGGAAAAATTCCTAAGTTTAAAGTCCAACAGGTGGAAGGACTAGTCCCAGGATTCCTGTGTCCCCCGAGGTTCTGGACACATGGCCAGAACTGGCAGGGGCCTCAGGGCCTGGGGGAGCTTGGTGCTGCTGGTAAGTTACCCCTGCCCAGGACAGAGCTGGGGTCCACAGCGGGGAAGGGAAGAGATAGGGGCCACATTCTCAGGGATGAGGGAGGAAGGTCTCTCAGCCAGGGGATTGAGGAAGCAGGAGATGGTCCTTCCCTGGAGGAGGAAGGAGGCTCTGGGTTTGGAGAAATAGAGACAAGTCTTACTATACTGAGGTCTAGATACTGCAGCCTCTGGTAGGAGAGGGGACATAGGATCAGGCTAGGCACAGGGTGGTCACCCACACAGGCCAGCTGCTCCTCTCTCAGACCCCATGAGTCAAGGCCCAGTTCTCCTCAGACTCAGACTCCAGACCCCAGCCCTATTCCCTCAGACTCAAAGCTTCAGACTCCAGCCCTGTTCTCTAGGACTCGAGTCAAGTCCATAGCCCTCTTCTCTCAGACAGATGTCTAAAGCTCAATCCTTGTCTCTCAGACCCAGGGGTCCAGGCTTCATCTCTCCTTCCTCAGCCCGTGGCCTGTCTGCAGACTCCATTTCTGTTTTCTTTCTTCCCTTTTGGTCCACAGCCTCTCTGCTCAGCTCTCCTGTATTTTTCAGAAAGTGAAACTATTCATTTTATCTCTTGCCCTTATTGTAGAGCCAACCGTAGCTCCTGCCTCCCTGTGGGCCCACCTCTGCCAGGGGTGCCCTCCTTCCCCACCAAGAGGATATGGAGTTGGGGTGACCTTTTCTCACAGCCCAGTCCCGCACTCCTCTCCTTGGCCAAGGTTGATAGGAAGGTTGGGGACAGAGATCAGAGAGTGACAGCCCTGCTAGCCCCCTGAATAGCTCAGCATCTAACTCCTTCCTACCTGGCTCTCTCCAGGGTCTGTATGGCTGCACTATGGTCTGGGCGGCTGGTGAGTGACCCCATCTGTGATCAGTGTCCTGACCAAGAGATGAGACCTCAACTCTCCAGAGTCTGATGGTCCATGGCAGCCTGAAGACACTCCACTTGGGGTGGGAAACCCCAGGGTGGTGGGAGGGAGAATAATGGTCTATACTTTACCTACCTGAAACCCTCACCCCAATTCTCAACCCCAGACCCAGTGGAGAACCTAAGGGCAGAAGCTCAGAACACCAGCTCCATCACCCTGCGCTGGGATGCCTCCCAGGGCACTGACCTTCAGGACCTCACCTACTGGGTCCAGTGCACTGGAGACGGTGACAGAAATGACACTCGAAACACAAGAGACACCAGTATCACCATGGGTGGACTTCATCCTGCGTCTTTGTATGAATTTTCTGTGTGGGTAGAAAAAGATGGAGCCAATAGCTCCAGGCAGAGCCTCAGTGCGGCCACAGGTGAGAGGCAGACACTAGTTTATCTTTCCTTTTTCAAGAGTTGTGATGGAAAGTAGCTGAGAAGTGAACCAAGAACGGGGTGAGCTCTACAATCCCACAGATGGAGAATGGGGGCCACAGGTCTCGTTTCCCGTCTTTCTTTGTTTAACGTATTTTTATTTATGTGTATTAGTGTTTTGCTTGTGTGTATGTAAGGCCCAGGGAGGTCAGAAGAGGTGTTGGATCCTCTAGAACTGGAGCTATGGACAGTTGTTAGCTGCCATGTGGGTACTGGAAATCGAACCCGGGTCCTCTGCAAGAGCAGCCAGTTCTCTTAACCTCTAAACCATCACTTCAGTCCCTAATTTTCCATTTTTTCTGTCAGCCACATGAAAATAAGGAAGCCGGGTGTGGTGGCGCACGCCTTTAATCCCAGCACTTGGGAGGCAGAGGCAGGTGAATCTCTGTGAGTTCGAGGCCAGCCTGGTCTGCCTAGCGAGTTCCAGGCCAGCTGGGGCTACTGGGAGACCCTGTCTCAAAAAAAAAAAAAAAATACGTGTGAAATGGATGTCCAGGAGATGTTTCAAGTAGCCCAACAGCCTCATCTCAACACCCACAGAAACGGGAGCAGTGAACATGGGCATGAGTTATCTGGTTTTGTAGTTCAGGCTAACCTGGAACTCGCTAGTTCAGGCTGGCTTACAATTCCTGATCCTCCTGTAATACTAGCCTCCCAAGTGCTGGGGTGACCATCTTGCTGGGCTCGATGATTGACACTGTTGATTTCATTTATTTATTTGTTTGTTTATTCATTTATGTAATGCATGTGTATACATGTGTGTGCAGGTACACACACTCCTGTGCGTGTGGTTTTGAAAGACAAAGCTCAACATGAGGTCTTGGGTTTTGCGTTTTGTTTGTTTATTTGTTTGCTTTGTTTTTGTTGAGACAAGGTCTCCTTAAATAGCACTGGCTGACCTGGAATGCTCTGTGTAGACCAGGTTGGCCTTGAATTCACAAAGCTTGCCCTGCCTCTGCCTTCTGAGTGCTGGGATTAAGGGTATGTGCCACCACACCTGGCACAGACATTGGGTATGTTTCCCTATTGTTCTCCACCTTATTTTTATGTTGTTTAGGTGTTTATGTTTTTATTAATTTATTCTTTGACAGTTTCATACATGACTATAATCAGGTCCCTCCACCGCCTCTTACCCCCCCCCCCCCCCCCCCCCAGGGGACCCCACCGTCCCATTGAGCCTCCATTCCACCTCTATGTCTTTTTGGTTTTACTTTGTGACCCACTGTGTTTAATCAGGGTCACTTGTCCCCCACCCCCACCCCAGGCAAGGGTGTGGAGCTACTCACTGGAGCATGGATAACTCACTTAAGACATGGCTTCCCCACTTAAGACAAAGACTTCATGGGGCTGGAGAGATGGCTCAGCGTTAAGAACACTGGTTGTTCTAGCAGAAGTCCCGGATTCGAATTCCAGCACCTACATGGCAACTAACAACTGCCCATAACTCCAGTTCCAGGGGATCCGATGGCTCTTCTGTCCTCCGCGGGCATTGCATGACACGGGTGCACTTGCCTACGTGCAGGCAATACACTCATACACATAAAATTAAAAAAAAAAAGTGACTTCTGCTCACCCAGGACTCCTTGACTGCCGCCCATCCTGAGCTTTGGAGGGGGTGATACGGGTATTCTGTTTGAATTTGATCACTCAACAGTCCCTTGCTGTGCCTCAACCAGCCGTGAGTCTCTGCATTGACTATGTTCACTGCAGAGAGAGGCTTCTTGATCAAGGTTGAGGACCATGTTAGTCCCCAGGAACCTGCCTCTGTATTTGGCTTCTGGGGCTCCAGGCTTCCAAACCCTGGCTTGCTCCTTACTTTTATTTATTTATTTTTGGGTGTCTATGTGTGTGTTCTATATGTGTGTATGTGTCAGATATGTGTGTGTGTGCACTTGTGTGTGTGGAGACTGAAGGTTGATGTCGGGTGTTTTCCTCTGTGGTTCACCACCCATTTATTTATTTATTTATTTATTTATTTATTAATTATTTGAAACAGGATCACCATGTAGCCCCATCAGCCCGGAACTCACTATGTAGACCAGGCTGGCCTCGATCTCATAGAGATTTTCCTGCCTCTGTCTTTCCAGTGCTGAGATTGAAGCTGTGCACCACCATGCCTGGCCCCTTATTTATTATATTTTATTTATTGTTATTACATATATATGTCTGTGCATGGTGTGTGTGTGTGTGTGTGTGTGTGTGTGTGTGTGTGTGTATGTGTTTTGTCTTGTTTTTTGACATGGGGTCTCTATTTAGCCCCAGCTGAACCAGGCTGGCCTCAGTCTCACAGAGATCCACCTTCATGCGCCACCATGCTTGGCTTTGTATGGTGTGTGCTGATGTGTGTGCACGAATGCAGAGGTAGAAGACAGCTTTGCGGAGTTGATTCTTTCCTCAGCAGACCTTTCCTTGGGTCCTGGGGATGGAATGTAGGTTTGTACCCCAAGGGCTTTTACTCACTGAGCAATCTTGCAGGCCCACCTGATTTTTTGATACAAGGTTTCTTAGCCTGGAGGTTAGTATTTTGACTAGATTGGGTAGCCAGTGAGCCCCTAGGATGCTTTTGTCTCTTCCCCTTCCTCCCAGTACTGTGGTTACTGACACATGCCTCTTTGCCTGGCTTTTACGTGGCTGCTGGGGATCCAAGCTCATGTCTTTATGCTTGGATGGCAACTGCTTAAACCTGTGAACCATCTCCTGAGTCATGCTTGCTTGCTTGCTTGCTTATTTATTTATTTATTTAATTTAATTTATTGAGACAAGGTCTTACTATGTAGCCCTGGCTAGACTAGAACTTACTATGTAGACCTGCCTCTGCCTCCCAGGTGCTGGAGTTAAAGACAGGCATCACCACATCCAGCCTTTCTCTTTCTTTTCAGACAGCCTCTTACTGTGGAGTGATGCTGGCCTCAGACTTGCAGCAATCCTCCTGCCTCAGCCTCCTGAGTTCAGGATTTACAGACATGAGCCACCATGCCCAGCTAGATCTGACATTATTACTCTGCTGATAAAATTTCCCAGTTCTGTGTACTATCTCCCATGGTATCTTAGTGGCAACCAGCCACATCAAGAGCTCTACAGTCCAGTGAAACCTGTGCTTCCATATTGGACAGTGCAGGTCTGAGCCATCCCACACCCTTCACTGGGGCCATGGCTCCAGGAAGGGGTGGGAAATTCGAGGATTGGGGAACCACAGCTGATCTCCCCTCTGTCCCTGTTTCAGCCCCAAGCCCAGTGAGAAACCTGACAGTGGAAGGTCAGACCAACAGCTCCATCACCCTGCGCTGGGAGGCCCCTGAGGGCTCCGACTCCCAGAACCTCACCTACTGGGTGCAGTGCATTGGAGATGGTGACCAAAATGAGACCACAACAAACACCAGCATCGTGGTGAACAAACTTGTTCCTGCATCTCCATATGAGTGTTCTGTGTGGGTAGAGAAATATGGAGTCTTTAGCTCCAAGGAGATGATCAGCACTGTCACAGGTGAGAGGCAGACA